GACCGTGAACAGCTTGCTCATCCCTGCGGGTGCCTTGGGTCTTCTCCTTCCCGGGGTCTTAAAATTCCGCTGTGATGTCCTTGGAGTGGCTCATTTTCAGACTTCGGGCAGGGTGGGCCCTTTTAACCCAGAAAAAATTGTCCTTCGGTTCTAGGAAACCCTCCTCTGTTATTTCTTAGATAATTTCCTCCTCACAGCTTCCTGTTTTCACTCCCGTGATTTGCTGGTACCTAGATCAATTCTCTTTCTTATTTTTCTTTCCTCTCTCCAGTTTCTTAGTCGTTTTACTCTACTTTCTGGCAGATTTCTTCAGCATTATCTTTTAACTTTCTCACTGGGTTTTCCATCCCGGCTATCATACTTTTATTTCCTCAGTTTTTTTTGGTCCCTCCAATATTTCTTTCATACAAGAGCCTCTTGTTGGACAGATGCAGCATCTTCTCCTGTCTTTCGGAGGCTGTTCTTGTTCTCTTCTTCTGTCTGAGTGCTCTCTGCTTCGGTGAGGTGCTCTTTTTCTGACGCTCTGCTCTCCATCGTGGGGGGATGGAGGATACCTTTTCCCCCAAGAGTCCTGCCCGGTGGGGGCTGGTGTTCAGCACGTAAGAATGAGCTGCAGCTCCAGTCTGAGCTCAGCCTGGAGTGCATTGCCCTAAACCGCTGAGGCACGGCGTGGGTGCAACCTGCCACCTTTGACCACTCCTGATGGCCTCGGCCTTCTCCACGGCCATAGCAGGCTGTAAAGGAGCCTGCAAATTATATTCTCAGCAGTTTGTCACGCAAAGGTACCTGAATATCCAAGAAATAAGGGCTAAATCTAGTTTTGCCTGAGCCATTTTCAGACGAAATATCACCCTAGCGTATGGCAGGTGGACTGGTCCAGCACGGATAGGCATTCCCAAGTGCCCAACAAGTGGGATGTCTTTCATCACACTAAGCACTTCTTTGAAAGACTTTGGTGAGTTAAAAGGCACATGCGTGTGTCTGCAGGACAAAGAAGGGAGCCCTGAAACTGGTGTTTTTAGATCTCTGGAGCTGTCTGGATTGTGTTGGAGGCATTAGTCAACAGCCAGGCGGCCTCCACACCCAGATGAGAGACAGCCCACCTGCAGGTTTTCTGCGAGAGCTGACGGCAGGAATTTTCTCACAACGTCCCAGCCTTAGCGGTTTAGTGCAATCCACTCCAGGCTGAGCTCAGACACCTCAGCATTTGCTGGTAACATCTGTGCAAACCCGAGTCCTCCGCCTTCAGGCGCCCTTGAGGCCATTCGTCTGCACATTTCTGAGTCATGTTAAGCGCTGAGCTCAGGAAACTCTCACCATCTGATATCTGCCAGGAATTACTTGAATCTTATAGGGGGAAAATGACATTCTAATGGCCATGTTCCCAAGCACGCTTTGGTTAATGTCACTACAGATACTCTTTCAAAAGCCCTGCCCTCTGGGGGGGGACTTTTCCTCAGAGCATCCTACCTTACACTTAAACTAAATAGGTCTCATTCAAAAGCAGGGGTGCTGTTTCCCTGGGGAATATTGTAAACTCAAGTTTCCCCCTGTATTTTGAGACCCAAGAGTAAAGGAACTCTAAACTTCCACGGTCATATTATTGGCTTCTGTCAGAAACACTATGAAGTATACTCGCTATGAAGTGAGTTTCTTGAAAAGATATGGGCCCACTTGGCTGGCAGTTCTCTGTTTTCTGAAGAAGCTGGTAACCCACTTTGGCTCAGCTTTTGGAAGAGAGTGTGCGTGCCAGGTAAGAACAAGATATCATTATGAAGAGAAGCATGACCTCATCGCTCAGAGATTCGGAGGAGACGACACCTGGAGGACTCTGATCTGCTTCAGGGAACTTAGTTACAGAACGATGAGGTGAGGACTGAAGAGATGCCAGGAGAACAGAAAACAATACAGAGATTCAGGAAATTAAACCTGCCAGAACATGAAAAGACATCTCAAGAAAACAGCTATCGGACTTCCCTGGTGGCGCAGTGGTTAAGAATCCTCCTGCCAACGCGGGGGACACGAGTTCGAGCCCTGGTCTGGGAAGATCCCACAGGCCGTGGAGCAACTAAGCTCATGAGCCACAACTACTGAGCCCACGTGCCACAACTACTGAGCCCGTGCGCCACAAGTACTGAAGCCCGTGTGCCTAGAGCCCGTGCTCTGCAACAAGAGAAGCCACTGCAATGAGAAGCCGGCGCACCGCAACGAAGAGTAGCCCCCGCTCGCCGCAACTAGAGAAAGCCTGCACGCAGCAGTGAAGACCCAATGCAGCCAAAAAAAAGAAAGCAACTGTCCCCATAAGGATACTTTACCATTATTTAGCAAGAGTGTAACAGGTATAAGACTCCACACTTTAGAGAATGCGGGGCGAATAAGAGCACTTCTGATATAGAAAATAAGTGGCCAGAGCAGTGGTCATTTGCAAACAACTCAAACTTTCTTAGTCATTCCACACACAGAGGAGCAGCGCGTTGACTCATCAGAAATATTAATTCATCTCCTGAGCTCCTGTTATACAAACACGGCGGCTTCAAGCTAGATAAATAGATGCTCAACCAACAAGCAAGACTTCTATCTTCCACCAACAGAAGGTTTTAATTGAATAGCAAAGCAAAGCCTAATAGAAAGTGACATTGTGAAGTCAGTCCCCTGGAAGGGGTGCTGGGGAAATGCAGAAGTCTAAGTGGGGCAGAAAGAAGGCTGCACAGAGAAACTGGTTCTCTGAGCAAAAGCCCTTCTTTCCGGGATTCAGAAACAATCGTACACAGGCAGTCATGGGATTTAAAATGGCAAACAGTGACCATGGGAAATACCTTAACAAGACAATGAAGGAAATGTAGCCCCGGCAATGAAGTCGTGCTGTGTCCTACGTACCCGGCTTGGTGGCTCTGTTCCTGCCTCTCACTGCTTGGACACCTCACCACGCACATCGTGGCCTGAAACAACACAGATTTATTACGTCGCATTTCTGTAGGTTAGGAGTCCAACCTGGGTCTCACCGGACTAAAATCAAGGCGTCAACGGGTCTGTGTTCCTCTCTGGAGGCCTAAAGGGGCATCCACGTCCATGCCTTTTCCAGCATCTAGGAGGCATCCACATGCCCCGGCTCGCGGCCCCGTCTTCCTCTTCAAAGCCGGCGATGGGGGGTTGAGACCTTCTCACGTGGTCAGACCTTCTCTGACCTACTCGTTCCTTCCCTCCTCCACTTTTAAGAAGCCCTGGGCTCCTTAAGGAGTCACTGGGCTCGCTCAGATGACCCAGGATCACCTGCCTGTTCTATGGTCAGTGGGTTAGGCCCCTTTAAGTCCTTTTTGTCAGGTGTTATCAGGTGAATTGTGTCTCCCCCCCAAAGGAAATGGTACATTGAAGTTCTAGTCCCCAGGACCTCAGAATGTGACCTTGCTTGGAAACAGGGTCTGGGCAGATGAAATGAGTTGAGATGAAGTTGTAGCAGAGTAGACTGGGATCCTGATCCCAAATGACTGGCATCCTTATAAGAAGATGTCCGTGTGAACACACAGACACCGGGGAGAGCACCAGGTGGAGATGCAGGCAGAGACTGGAGCGATGAGGACAGGCCGGTGGCGCTTGGGGACCTGGCACCAATGCGGATGCTCAGCTGCTGCTCTGGCTGTGACGTGTGAACCAATCCCATGTTTCTGACCCGGCATCTCACTTCCGCCAGAATCTGTGAAGCTGGGGGCTAACAGGTTAGCTTGCAAGTAAGACAAATCTCAGATCCTTCGGTTATTGACAAAGGAAGATGCAGGTAGAAAGTCTGGAGAGCGGGAGAGCCCCAGCGAGTGTTGCCACCAACTGAACGATTCAACGTTCAGGTCAAACGTCCCCGCCCTTTAGCTCACCTTCTTTAGGCATCACTTGTCTCTCCCAGTCGTTCTCCAAGTGAGGTCCCTGGGCCTGCAGCATCCGTATCACCTGGGATCCTGTTAGCCGTGCAGATTCCTGGGCCACACCCCGGATTCTCCGACGAGCCTCCAGGGGACGCAGATATGCCCCTTGGGAAACACTGGCCCGCCCTGTGGTCAGCACTGTGGCTGCAAGAGCCTGGCGTGGGCACAGGGAGAGCTTTCGGGGCCACTGAGGCCTGGGCGGGAGCGAGGCCAGGAGACAGACTTCCCCTGTCGGCTCTCTGAGGCTCCCCTGCCTCTGCTTCTGTGGACGGGATGGAGTTTCTGCACTTTCCGTAAACTTGGCCCTCTCGGCCCTCACCCCTAAAGGAGATCAGGCCTTTCTCTAACAGCACACGCTGAAACACGTGGTGAAATCTGGCCACCCGTTCTCAAAGACGCAGCCTGGACCCACCCGCTTGACTCCTCCCACCTGCTTGACTCCTCCCCCCACCCCAGCTCTCCCCCACCCTGGAAAGAAGGGTCATGAAAAGAGGGATGGGGGCTGGGAAGGGGATTTCTGGGTCTCCAGGAGGGAAGCTTTGCCCACAGTGAGAAGTAACCTGAGGGGGACCCTGCAGACGTGCCTGGCGGGGTCCTTGCACGTGGAGGGGGCCTCACCTGGCTGGGAGGGGGCCTCAGTTCTCTCCGATGGAGGCAGGGAGGCTGCAAGAGAAGAAAGGACATGAACGAAGTCTTGGGAAAGAGAGGGAGGCGTTCCGTGTGCATCCGTGTGACCTCCAGGCCAGAGCAGAACACAAAGGCTGCAGGAATCCTCCAAAGGCTTTCGGGGGACCAGGGACACAAAACAGATTCCACAGTGCACAGGGGAAGTGCCCGCGTGGATCTCCAAGTGACTCACAAAGTGTTTATTCTTCTTCCCTCAGATGATAATTACCTTGAAAATCTTCCTCGGTCCTGGAGCTTCTGAACAGAGTAAATTAGGAGGAACAATATTCTTACCACAAAGAAATAGTGTAGAGGGAAGAAAACCAACCCTGACAGGGATCTTAGGGGAGTTTTTTCCTAACCACGATTTTGTCCTCTCCCACTGCCAGATAAATGACAGCATCAAAAATACCCCGTGCAGGGCTCGCTGCGGCAGCACATGCACTAAAGTTGGAACGATACAGACGAGATTAGCGTGGCCCCCGCGCAGGGACGACACGCAAATGCGTGAAGAGTTCCCTATTTTTAGGAGATGGGGGGCTATATGTGTATGTAGAGCTGATTCACTTTGTTATACAGCAGAAACTAGCACACCATTGCAAAGCAATTATGCTCCAATAAAGGTGTTTAAAAAAAATTCCATTCACTACACACGAAGAGCTTTACTTACTAGTTAATAAAATGCTCAGAGTGGCTGCAGAAAAGAATTTGATGCCAAAGCTTAATTTATCCAGACCCTTTTGTTAAATCCTAATAAAGGGTTCACAAGGAACAGATCTTGCGTGGAACGGGCTGGCCCCCCGGGGGGTGAGTGGTCACCTCTGTGCACATCGTCCTTCAGTCTTTCCGTTGGCACCTCCGGCCCTGGGAATGGATCCTGGGATTTATGGGATCCTGCATTTAATGCATTAATACCTTAGCTTTCTGTGAGCGACCACAGACGGCTGAAGATGCCCAGCGGGGCCCGCCTGTGGAGGCTGCGTGGTACATCTCACTAGTGAACTACCGAGGCACCTAGGGACGCTCCTTGCTGCGAACAAGCTTCTTCCGGGTGAGTTCTCTTGACTGGATTTGAGGCGTCCCCTACCCACACGTCCACCCTTAAAACTGTCTACTTTTGTGGGCTGAGATTTTTTTCACTTTGAAAGGGACAATCTAGGCCCATCCAGGCCAATGCATTAGCCACCACCTTAAGGGAACCTGCATTGCTGTCCCTGCGCGCAGCCACCATACGGGGTCACATGGATGAGGCCCAGTCGCCTCAGAGTGGGGACCTGGCCCCTGAGCTGGGGCAGAGAGGAGCATGGGCTCCGTCCGTCAGCATCGCACATGATGGATCCAGAAATGCGGTCCGTAAGGGCTGCTGGAAGGGGCAGCAGGAGGTTCGAACCAGGAAAGACCAGGCAGGTGGAGCCTTGGAGGAGAGAGGCAGCTCTTATCCGTGTTTGCAGTTGGGGTGCAGTGTCTGGTGCAAAGGCAGGCTTCAGACCTGCACGTCAGCGAGAAAGTGGCCCGAGGCCATAAGGAGAAGGGTGTAAGTTGGCGTCTGCTGAAACCCTGGGAAAAGGAGTTTAAAATCCGGCAGGAGAGCCAGGGGTCCGGAAGGGGTCTGGACCAGCTGGCCGTGGGAGCAGCCCTGGCTTCTGGTCTGTCCTTCCAGCCAGGGGACCAGATCTCGTGCCAGCTCTGCCCCTTGTGCTCTGCGGCCCTGGACGGCCACCTCACCTCGCTGGCCTCTGTGTCCCCACCTGGAAAGTCTGCACCCTGGGCTCGCTGGCGGCCTGGGCCCCTCTGGCTCTCATCTCTCTCCCTGGTGGCCGTCCCTCATCCCTGTCAGAACCGTGGTCCAGCAGACACAACCTCACCCCAGCTCAAGTATTTCCGGAACACTCTGGCAGGGACTGTGCCTGAGTGGTCCACAGCGCCCGAGATTAAGCCCCCAATCCTGACTGCTCTGTTGCCTCACCTCTCACGGGGCTCCCTCTCTCCTCTGCAGGAAACCTTGGCCCTGGACCACAAGGCCCGGCCGCTCTCCCCTCCCCATGCTGGGCTGGCAGGTGAGGAATTACTCATGTGGCTAAAAGCGGGAATGAGGGAACGCCCGCCCCACGGCCCTGTCTAGGGTCTCCCGACCTGTCTTTCTCCTCACTCTTTTCTTTCCTGCAGGGCTGATGCTGGGGACGAGAAGCCCCCCGGAACTGACAGACTGTGGCCTTACTGGGGCCCCAGGGGCCTCCCCACCTGATGAGGTGCCCCAGGGTGTGGGATGCTGGCCTGGAGGGGACCTGAGCCCAGAGACCCACAGGTATGTTCTCTCGCGTGTACATTCAGACAAGTATGGACTGAGGAGACCCGCAGGTAAATGCACGTATGTTCGGGGAGGTCTGGAGAGCTCACAGTTCTGTATCTGAGACGAATCACCAACGAGAAGCCCCGGCTCTGTGTCCCGGACAGCGTCCTGCGTGAACGCCCTGCAGACGCCTCAGCAGTCGTGAACTGGCTTACTCTCAATGCTTCATGACCTCTGGCGGCAGGAGATCCACTGGCTGTTTCTCCAGGTTCTCTGGCTTCACATCCGCCTCATTTTTCCCCGAGGCTCTCTTGTGTCCGCCGGCTCTCCAGTCTCACAGCCACTGTCCCCGCCCAGGCCTCCCCTACGCCCCCAGACACCTCGCAGTAGCCTCCCGACGACCCTCCAGGCTCCCGATCTCCTCCACCCGCAGAGCACGCCCCGCCCTCGGCTCCCACACCAGAGAGGAAGCCGCAGCTGCTCCCGACCCGATTGGCTGCGGACCTGCCTCGGCGGCGCGATGGCGGCTGTCTACCATCCTCATCCCTGGGCGGAGAGGATCCAGGCGCTTCTGCAGAACTGAGGACGTGGCCGAGCGCGGGGTACGGCCCAGAGCCCCCGGAGGGTGGACGGTGTTATGAGTCACAGGCTCTCTGTTACCTTTCTGAAACCAAAAGTTCTCAATTGCAAAGTACTGCAGCGCCCTCTGGGCTCCCCCCACCGCCCTGCGTGGTAGTTAAGGGATGGCGCGCCTGCGGTCGGGACACTGTTGGTTTCCCACCTCATGCTCCTTGGGAAGAAGGTCAAGTCTGCACCTGGAAGAGAATTTCTCTCTCTCCCCCTCCCCCTCCCTCCCCGGCTTCTCTTTCTCTCTCTGGCTGCCCCCCCACCCCCTTCCCTCTCTTGCCTCCTCTCTCTCCTGACGCCTCTCCCCTCATTCTCCTGACGCCCACCGCCTAGTGTGCGGGGGACGGTGTGGGGCCTGCTTGCCACGTGCAGCCCTTCTGTGACCATGAGGAGAGCCAGACTCTGGTTGACACGCACACTGAGGCTGGAGGAGCAGAGGAGCAGGAAGCAGGGTCAGGTCCACCCGTGGGGACATCTTTGAGCTGCTGATCTTGACAAACCTGGGCCCGCCCTCCCTCTGAACTTGCCTCCTGTGAAAGGATAAACTTCCTTATTGTTCAGACCAGTTTAAACCAGTCTCTCTAGTTTTCCTTTTAAAGCACAGATCTCATCGTTGCCTACCCAGCGTAGAACGTCCTCCGTCACCTTCAGGACACAGTGCTGCCTCCTCAGCTCAGCTGGGGGGTGGGGGGAGAGACCCTGCCCACCCCTCCACACTCACTGTCTTCCCGAAAACGTGCCCTCTCGTCCAACAACACGGAGCCTTTCAAAGTTCCCCAAGCTGTCCACCATGCCTCCATGCTGCCATGTGCTTCCCCTATCGTCAGTCCAACACATTCTGCCTTTAGAACTCATAGCTCTACCTTCTCCGAGCACCTCTTCCTGATTCCCTGGGTGCAGGACAGTGGGGGGATCGAAAGCACAGGCTGGGTTGGGAGAGTGGGGAGGACACTGCCAAGAACGGGGAGGGCGTAAGGAGACAGAGGAAAGACAGAAAGAAACTGCATCTGGTCGGTGTGTAGGAGGCCCTAGATCAGACCTCACCTGAAGGCAATGTGCCGCCAGGCTTTAATTCCTGGGAGTTTTACATGTCCTGTATTGTTTAGGTTAATTGAGTCCGATTTTTGTGTGTTTGTTCGCTTTGCCACCAAAAGAATTCCAAATGCTTTTCCGAAATTCAAGTTCTTATCACGCCTTGTCATTGCCTGACAGCTTTCAAGGGCAAGGGCCGAAGAGGATTTGGTTTTCCAGTCCCTGTATTAGAAGACACCCAGGACTAATTTGTTGAAGTTAAAGAAGCTTCTCGGTGTGGCAAGTTCCGATTTACATATATATATATTTCCAAAATTCTGCCTGTTAAAATTGGTGGTTCAAGGAAATGCTGAGTTCTAGTCAGGCACAAGATTGCTTCTTTCTTTTAAGAACAAAACTGAGTGTACGCTCAGCGTGTCATATTTAAGTTGCATTGAGGGCGCAGAATAAAAGTATTAAAATTATACTCACTTTATCAAAGCGCCAATATTGGGATGTAAAATACATCATTCCCCAATGATCTGATTTTCTCCAGCAGGATCAAGGGTTACACATCTGTTAGGATCACGTGCTTCCTTCTCTCAGCAGGACTAATCCCTCCCGGCCCACGAGCAAAGTCTTTCCAGACTAATTTGCAAACAGGGCTCTGTCCCCTCACCCGTGAGCGCCATGCCCAGTTTTCTGCACTCATGGTGGTGAAACCCTAGCCCAGGGAAAGAGTATGAAACTCTCTGGGAGGCAGGTTGAGACCTGGAGGGCGCTTGCAGGGCCCCAGCCGCTCTCCCCTTCCCTCTTCCTTCCCTGGTCCCGCTGAGTAAGTCACCAGCACAGACATGCCAACCTCGATCCCTGCTTGGAAACCACATGAAGAAAAAGACAGGAGCTGTTCCAAGAGGCTGTGATTTTGGCAACCTTACTAGACAGTTATTTAGCTGATGACTCCGCAGCACAAGCCTCCCGTGGCCGTCCCAGCGCTGAAGTGTCCCACCTGTGGGGCTGAGGGAAGAGGGCTGGCAGGTCAGGCTGCGGTGGACGATGGGGACCATCTGACACGATCACCCTCTGGTTACAAGGGGGGCAGCCCAACTCAAGAAAAAGAAAAGAGGACCTTTTGGCTTGTGTGGCTAAAAGGGCGATGGGTTCAGGCATGGCTGGATCCAGGTGCTCCAAGCCAACGCTGGCAGCTGAGGAATTGTCAGAAAAAGCACTTCTCCTTCTCTGCAGTTTTGGCAAGTGCTCTGGTGCCCCTCATCGGCCTGGCGTGGGTACCTTGCCCTCCCTTGGCTGTGATCATGGTGGGCTCTGTTGGTGGGGCCTGAGTCACTTGGTTGTCCCTGGTCGTCACGGGGGGTGTTCTTTTGGTCTTTCGCTGCAACCAAGGACCAAAAACCTTGAAGGTGGCTTCAAAGGACAGAAGTGTATGGTCTCACAGTCCGGAGGCTGGAGGTCTAGAATCAAGGTGTTGGCAGGGCCGCGCTCCCTGAAACCCATAGGGAGAACCCTCCCTGCCTCTTTCCAGCTTCTGGAGGGTGGTTGCCACCACCATGGGCGTGACATGGTTTACAGATGCATCAGTCA